TTCCTTGGAAAACTCAAGTTTTACAAACTCGTTTTCAATGGACAAGGTCTCGTCCACAGAGCGTGCCACAGGGTTGAATGACATTAATGTCTGCCTTGTATTGCCAACACTTACAAAGTACGATGCATAGCCGAGAGCAGGTAGCTTGACCTGGAAGACAAGCTCGTAACTCGAAGTACTTTTCGACAAATGCTGAAGATCGCGCACCTCTTTAGTCTCTTTTGAGATTGGTAGAATTTGGCTCTCAACTGGTCCGCCTTGAGGGTCGAAGACGGCCATTGAACTCGACACAACCGGAAGACGAACGTATGTAGCAACGTCACGAGCAAGTGGGTTGTACATGGTCACCACAAAGTTCTTGCTTGATTCAGTCAAAGCACACGAGCTGACGTTAAGAAGGTCACAGAATGTAAAAACTGGGACATCGCCTTCTTGGTCAAAAGTAGAGAATTTTCCAAGGACATTGCTGATGAAGGCCTGCAATAAAAGAAAGGTTATTCAACCACAACATATATCTAAAGAATTGCAAACTTTCCGTTTTTTGAAAATCTCCAACGAACTAGTTCGCTCCATTCATTCAGTGTCGAAGATAACACTTGTATCTCCGCGCCCTAATGCAATCCTATATGTACAATCCTTATTTACTTTTTAATTATAAGTACTTATAAATCAACAAGATATTTTCCGGCATCTGTTCTCTTTGTTCGGCAACGTGACGCGATTGTGTCCATCGCGGTGGGCTATCACACTAACTTTGTTTTTGGGAACATCCAGTCTCCGCGGGCACTTATTACAGCATAATGCCATCGATACGCGCAGAAATACGCATTTTTTCTTTAAATATTGAAAAGATGCCCCAAGAGCTAATCCTGAAATCTAGGGGATTTGAAAAGCTGTCTTGTTATTGTACAATTTAGTAATGGAGAGATATAACTTGCCTGGCAGCTAGCTGCCCCAATGGAAAGTCTCTTATCGTAGTCATCAGCAACATGTTGTTTAGATGTGCCACTGACAGCGTCATGATGCTGTGCAACTGCCATGGCCCTTTGAAGCAGGTCAGATGATGGATACCCAGATTGTGAAGGTCCATTGAGAACCTCTAGTTGTTTGCAGGCCTAAAAAAAACAACATTAGCACATTTTGTTCTGAGCTGTTGACTATTGACTACACACAACAAAGTTTACTGGGGCTTGACACTAAGATGGATATTACAGGTTATACTCCTATAATAGAGCACAAAAAAGCCCCCTCTWCATTTACTTTCAAATACTCTTATTGATAATTATCAATTGGTAATCATTGGTCCCCCAAGTTGTAACAACTAGCCATAGGTACTCGGGGTAGATTGAGATTTTGTTCCCTATGAAGGATGCACTACTTTATGAGCAACATGGTAGATCCCCCACTAAAGGAACCATCTGATGTGTGGTGTGTGGGTTGGGTGTCCTGGGAGCTGCACATGCACTGGTACTAAAGCCAAATTGTCTTGTACACCTTATTGGACCATGACATACCTGTAATAAATTATTATTGTATCGCACATATCTCTTGAGTGCTGGCCTRCTAGTGAAGTAGCCAGTCCAGTAACAATGAGGACAGTCAGCATAAGGAAAGAAATCATCAGTTTTTAATCCCCACGTCAAATTGCTATTATGGACCATATCTAGGTAGGTTGTTGGTGTTGAATAAAAGGCATGAACTCTGCTATCCTGAAAAGAAACAAGAATAACTAAACAAATGCCATAAGAAATTATTTTGACTGTAGCTAGTGCCTAACAATTTTCAAAATACATGTAAACTTCGTGAGTTAGATGAAGGATTAAGTGAAAAGTAAAATACAACCTCAGCCTTGCAAAGAGCTGTCATGGTTCTCAGTAATATAATTGGAATACAAAAGGTCAGAATACAAAAGAATATGAGAGGTCAGTGGTTCAATTCCAAGATTTTTTCTAGCAAGAAATTCATTATTTCCACTCAAAGAATAATAAATAATACCATAGAAATTTGATCATTACAATCATTACCAAATGGCAAAAATAAATACACTAATAACACAAAACTAAAATGAAAATAAAATATGTAATTATAATAAAGGCAAAAAAATCATCTACACTTGTAAACTCTCTTTTAATTATTTTCAATAAAAAAGCAATTACTATTTGATTTAAAAAAAAAAAACGATTTTCACATGAATTAAACCACTTTAAAACGACAGGTAATTTATAATTGGAACAAATCAAAACAATCGCATCATGTGTATTTTACCTGATTGACATATTTCATTAAAATATCAAGATTCTTGAACCACAGGTTAGCATTCTCGTACATAAAATCTGATCCCATAGTAAGCATGATGTTGTTACTCTTGTAATGTTTTGCCTGATCACAGACATACTCAATAAAGTCTTCCGTCTTCTCTTTCACATTCATATCCTGYAGATTRGGATCAGMCATCATTGGCTGGTCTTTGCAAAACTGGTCAAAGCAAAACCCGGGAGGAGGATTATAGCCATTGTACAGCACACCAGTGAAAATATCTGAAYTTTTACCGAGATTTCCACTCTTACTTCCACGCCAAATCATTTCCATGCGCTGATCCTGGAGCCTTGCTTTTTTGTCAGCGTAGTCGATGCGTCCAAAGAAGAAACCATCAAATGACATTTGCGCAAACAACGAAGCTTGTTCGTTCGAGTGTCCGAACGGGTCAATATGCCAGGCGATTCTAGGCCGCGCATCATCTCCAAATGTATCTTTAATAAACTTTAATCCTACAGTCATTTGATCAATGATTGCATTGTAGTGTGTTGATGCTTCGTCATTCATACACCATCCACCGTTAATAAATTCCAGTCGTTTTTGCAAAACAAGTTTCTTCACGATTTCCTTCATAGTGACGTCTTGCTGGTCCCACCAACGCTTAAAGAATGCAATTTCTACATAGATAAATCTCTTGTTGGGATCTGCATTCAGTGCTGGAATGACTGAGTCTAAGATGTACTGAACACCGGCGTGYTGWATKRAGTTGWWGGCTCCATAATAATACTCGTCAACAGTCTTCAGCCATCCAACATCGTCATGAGTATGAGCTACAATGTGAACATTCAGCTTTTCTCCACTATTTTCTGCGCCTTTTCCAGCACATTCAAACCCCAGAGATACAGAAGAAAATACTGACACAAAAAGAACGAAGAAACATGGAAAATTCATGCTTCCCATCTGCACAATGCATGGAAGAAGTCACACGAGAGTCACGAGTGTCATAGTCTATATTTAGAGTTTTGATCAGGCGTTCCTCGTMGGCTATTTGATTTCTACTTAGTCTCTCTCTGCTGTAGATAATACAGGAATCCCACACTGTTGGTCTATGGCGGCTCAAATCAAAAMTWCAAAATGGGGGATGTTCACAAAGTAGGTATTCGAATCTTTAGTTTTAAAAGTCTGCCAAACTCTGAGCCACAGGCATTAAACATTATCTGCTATCGTAGCTAGGTTTTTACAACAATAACAAATCAAATTGAAGTTCCGCCTGAAAAAGTCAAAATAAATCAATTTACTGGAATACTGATGGCAGCAGCATGATTCTGATAGAAGTCAATGTCAAGTAGGTTTKCATTTAAGCTAATGATTCTTCAAGCAACACTATTGACGAATTGTAAAGAAAGCATGTTTGTTTTATTTGTTAATTCTTTCATCTTATATTGTAAAAAATTGTTTGTGTTGAAATTGAATGGTAATTGACGCCAAAACACACGTAAAAAAATGTCTCTTTTATGATAAGGCTCCTTGTAAATGAGGGATGCCATATGTTCGCGGAATCGTCAAGTGACCATCGATAGTGCAAGTGATTGTTAAATAACAGCCTGGGATCTTGATAAATGCAGTATTTGCTACAGATATAGAGAATATTACATGGTCGCTTGGAGATACGAATTTTATCTTCTCGTGTTGAAAATCTCTCACTCGTTCGCGGTCAAAATATCAATTTTACGAAATGGAGAAATATAGGTATTTCATARATAATTATATGATGAAAGTGAATCTACAATGTCAACTCGGTTTCGCTGATGTCACAGACTCTATACAGACATTCGTCTCCGAGACTGTAATTTTGATTTTTAAATGTATAAATCGGCAAGCGACATCATGGAAAGATATGAATCCCCACTTATACAGGTTAATATACAGTATTAAATTTATTGTTAAAAGCCAGTATCAGGTGATGTTAGTTAGTGAGATTGATTTCCCAGGTAATGTTTTAAAGAATTGGACTAAAAATAAACACACTAAATACTTGGATACTATATATTCTCCTTGCACCTGCCCTCGCCCTGGGATTTATCGTTTAAAATACGTTCCCATAAGCTKATTTAAAATACGGTAAGAATATTCAAGTCACCCCAGCTACTCTCTACATGAGCTGTGTAGATGAAAGCACTTATGTCTGCAGAGGCACAGCTCACAACTTCTCAGTCTACCAAAGGCTGAACATTTCTCTACAACCACCGCATGCAACCCAACCTGCTAAAGTCGTTTTACAACATGTCTACAACTGTCGTAGAGATTGAAAACAATTGTTAGTCAATAGCCCTACGACAGTTTCAGCCCGATGTTGTAAGGGTTAGGGATGTAACATGATCGAGATGGTTGGTGGTAAAAGTTGGCCTTAACAAGGTCTCCATTATCASGCAGGATCGATTATTACAAAACCATCTGACAAAATACACCTTTCGTCTTTATCAACGTTGTTTATATTATAATAATGATATCAATAGTTCATAAATAGAAACGTATACGGAAATAATCCATGGTGTCATCTCTATGTACTATTAATAGTAATGCGGGTACTTTCCCACGCATCAAAGCAGACTTAAAACACCCAGTCTGATGAAATAACTGCTGTCTTCCGGTAGAATTGCAAACAGGTTTTRTTCTAGTTGTTAATGATTGTTTTATGGAAAGAATATCTCCGTTGAAGAATGGCCGGATGAGTGGATGACCGGATGACCGAGTGTGCTGGAGATTTAGAAGATATAATAGGCAAGTGAAGTTTGYAAGCAAAACCTTGTGATRGACTCATGAAGTAATAAAGAAACAGTTGCAATCAACCACTTCCTCGACTGTCTATAATTATCCTCCCACGCTTTTCCTATCAATTCAATTATCAACAACTCGTTCTTGGCTGTATTTAGATGGACAGGAGAAGGACGGTGAAAACAAATGATTTCTTAATTAATGAATCTAATTAGAGCTAATTTATATCCCATTAATTAGCACGGAGTGGAGACAACCGCTGAGAAAGGCGGTATGAATGTTGCATATGTCAACAATTTTGAATACGTTACCGCTGTGCATTGAGGCACAGCAAATACTAGTCTCACAAGGGATCCGTACGCACGAACGGAAGTATTACGTCAACAGGTGCACGTAGACGCCACGCGAATGATTGATTTAATAATAACAATTTAATGTGGACCGAACTGACGTTTTTCATGCAATGACCWAAAAAAAGTGCGCTAGAAATTGATGTCGCGCTAATTTTTGGGTTCTCTATTAAACTATTAAACTTTSTTCATTAATTCGATAAAAACTCAAACTGAAAAAAGGCACGAAAAAAATAACAATATTACTAACAAACTCATTCATAATTATATTAATTTGTACCTGAAATACCGTATACATAACTCAACTTTAATTAACTAAATTTTCTAACATTATGAAAATCTATAAAGAATTTTATAACTTGTTCC